GCAAGGTCGGCGCCCCTGTGACGGGGATCACACTCAGCACCCGAGTGGGACGGCTGAGCGGGACACACTTCGAACTTGGGTTTTCAGTTAACGCAATTGTCTCGGTGAGAAGGAGGGTGATGGAACGGCATGGCGAAAGGTCCGAAGAACTTGTAGGTGTTTCAACAATCATTGTTAAAGTCTGCAGTGAAAGATCAGCATAGTGCGATTGACGATCGGTGGCTCAGCAGCTGCAATGCGGAAAGGAAAATGGTTTGGGGGAAGTATCATGAACCACCATGGAAACAAACAGCAAAAGTGGACAGCGTGTGCAACAGTTGTTCAGCAGGTACACACTGAGACGTCTCTCAGTGCTTCCCCTCCAGCGACTTAGCTTCGTTGGGCAAGGTTCGTCGCTGGAGGCCTTGCCCCCCTGCTCATGTAAAGTGGAAAGAGTGGTGGTGGAAGACCCTTTGTCCAGGGTTGGACACACACACACACACACACACACGCACGCCATCTTACCACACACACACACCTCCTCCCTCCCCTCCTTCTCATCCTCGTCCATCACATCATCACTTATACTACACGTCTTAGCACAACCGCCTCATATACCGTCTCTCCTCACACTTCGTTCTTGACTTTTCATCTCACTACTCCGTCTCCCATGTGATGTTCATATACATTTGAAATTTGTAAAACTTATCATGTGGGGTTATCATGTGTTGTTTCATCTCACTACTCCGTTATCCGGTCCTTTTATTTGTTGGGGTTGGAGTCGAAGTGCACTTGAGGTTGGAGGCACACTGATATATACTGCATATATAATCATATATATATATATACACATATACAGTATATACACACATACATGCGCACGCACACAATTTGTGACACTGCATGCTGCACATGCATTAACAGATGCAGTTCTTGAGCTGAGTGCACCCTACTAGGGTTCATTCTTGGTCATTCTAGGCGAAGCCATGCCGGTTGAGTTGTCAGCGGCATTCATTTTGATTGGGTAGTGTCAAGAGTCAAGATGAAACCACAGCAGAAGTAGAAAATATTCTTAAATTACAGAACCCGTGGAAAGAGAACTTCCTGACTACGTGTCAATCAAATCATTGTTTACATACACCCGCAAGTGCAATGTATGTTTGTTTTGTTTGATGTACAATGGTAGAAAGCGTAGAAGTAGGAGTCAGAGAAGGATACGCGTGAGTAAGCAAGCTAAGCGGCAGAAAAGAAGAAAACAAATTTTAAAAAAACAAACATACAGTACATAAATATATACAGAAAGAGAGGTTTGGAAGGTCTAAAGGAATATAATTACATAAATTAAATAAATTGAATGTATGTAGGCTGTGTAAACACATTCGTTCGATTTTGTGACGCTTGGTGAGGCACGTTTTCAGGCCTCCATGGAGAGCCTGAAGTCCTTATGCCCAGAGAATAACGGGAAACCAATGCTGGTGTCGGGCTGAGATCAAAAGCCAACTGTTTCTCGACCAGCTAGAAAACCATTGAGAAACAACTGTTTCTCGACCAGCTAGAAAACCATTGAGAAACAGCTTTACAGCCATCAAAAGCAAACACCGCACTTGAAGGCCAATAACAACGAAAATGGACACACAACTGTCACATGTAAAACTAAACATACTGAAAATTTCCAGTTGTTAAATGGTCTGTAAGAAAACGCTTGAACTGCTCCGATGCCAAAGCTGCCCAAGATACCGCTGACATCTTCCTTGTACATTGACGGCCACATGACTGAAACGCCTTTTGCTCAGACTTATATAAGCATATTTTGCCCGTTGATATTTGGTATGTTATTCAAGGAAGAAAGTTACAGTCGATGTGGGCACTGGATACTACATCCAAATGTCAGTGGAGAGGGCGCACAAGTTTTGCAGCAGGACTGCCAACAAGACGGATGCATTGTGCACACTTCAATATTGACGGTTTCAAAGATTCCCACGTCGCAACAGTCAGCAAAGATTTGGTGATTAAGTTTGCAGGAGATGCAAGCTTTTGAACGACAATGCCTCCAAAGTTGAAGGGGTTCTGAGCTTGGGCCTAGTCTTTGGACCAGCTACGGTATATCGACGGTACTGTATATATAATATAAGTAATGTTTAATGGTTTAATATATGATCGACACATATTCTGTCACATTTTATGTAAGCCCATTGTTCTGCATCGGCTTGCATTGGCAATGTTTTAGGTTCTCAAGGAGAAGAAAAAGAGCTTGGAGCAGCTGCAAATTACAATGCAGCAAAAGATGCACCCTCCTGAAGTTTTGATGTTGCAGTTTTTGTTGTACATATGTTGATTCCTGGACATGTTATTTATATATTTTTGCTGCCTCAGTTGCATAGCTGGAGGTACATGCTCCAGCAGCAGGAAGCTGCTAAAAAAGAAGAGCAATAAACGACACGCAGTTTCGCATACAAAAGGGCCTCGCGTGCTTGAATGTTCAAGCCCAAGAGTACTCAAGAATTGTTCAAGGGAGATATAAAGTTTTGTGTTTCGTTTATATACAGACATACTGCCACAAATGCTTGAAGTACTGTTTTCCAAACTGTAGAAGTTTGGCATAGGCTCCCGGTAGATGTCAACTTCATGTCATGTGATTGTCCCACCATGGCCATTGGTGAAAAGGATAATTACATTTTGCGTTCAGTTGCATTCACTATAACCAGTGCTGGATCAATGGGGCATGGAATGCATCATGCGCACTGCCTTCCACAAGCTTTGAACAAATCCAGCAAGAGCAAGTGATGCAGGAACAATTATCAATTTGAGTGGTGAGCATACACATTGGAACAGTGTCAACGGAACCCCAAACAACGTTTGAATCTATTGTTTTGTTTTGTTGAGGCGAGAAAGGGCGAAAAGGATGGATGTAGACACCAACAGCCCCAAGCACAGCCCCAAGCACAGCCAAGATGTGTACTCATGTCATGTGGACTCCATATAGTCCATCTCCAGCACCTCAACAATGTGTAGATTTCTCCATCTCAAGAACCTCAGCATATGCTCAGCATGTGTATGTTTGCAAGCTCCAAGAGCCCATGTGGAAGAGGCCTTAGAAAAGGGACGTTGAAAGCTTAGATGCTTTAGCTCAGTGCAATGATTTTTTATGTGGCAGTACACCAAATCCACCTATTGCTAACTGAGGTGGGTGGAGCAAAAAGCATTGTTCAAGGCTTTGGCCTTTGTGGAACTTGCAATGGAATGCCAAGCAGCCAAGCGACACTGAAAGCATACTTGGTTTCGACCAATAAGTAGCTTGTTTGTGGTTTGTTTGAAACTCCACGCATTGCACTAATGAATTTGACAGCTTCTTCTTGTATTTGACTCTATAGTATTCTATAGTAACAGTTTGTTATCATTCAGGAGTTCGTCCTTGCACTTGTGCTGCCATGTTTGGCTTAGAGCTGAGCCAGCGCTGAATTCGCAGCGCTGAATTTCCAATGGGAAAGCCTGAAAGGCTAAGAGCAGTTCCGCTGGTGCTGGTCGGCATTTGCTTTGGCGTTTGCCTTGAACGAAGCTTTGTGGCGCTATGGTCACCTACTTCTAGACCTACCAACCCCACGAGCAGAGGGTCCCATTGGGCCCTAAGTGGGACGAAGCAGGCTTCTTTGGTGGCCCGGCAGGCTACACTAGTTGGCAGCCCAGCCCCGTTCTACAATGCGGACGAGAAATTCAAGGGAATCATCGATGAAGACATTGAGAATATGAACATTGCAGAATATGTGGGTGATCGCTATTTGGTGCTTTTTTTCTACCCCTTGGATTTTACATTTGTGTGTCCAACCGAGATCATAGCCTTTTCGGACCGCTTCGAGGAGTTCGAAAAAAGGAAGACGCAGGTCTTAGGAGTCTCTGTGGATAGCGAGTATTCTCATTTGGCATGGATCCAAATGTCCCGTGATGAGGGTGGACTTGGAGGCCTCGAATATCCCTTGATCTCCGACTTTCATCGAAGCTTAGCAAAGGAGTATGGTGTCCTTAGTCCTGATGGAGCCGCTTATCGAGCGCTTTTCATCATTGACAAGGAAGGAATCGTGCAACATGCCACAGTGAACAACATGGCCTTTGGTCGAAACGTCGATGAGGTTCTGCGAGTCCTTGATGCAATCCAATATGTTCAGCAAAACCCCGATGAGGTTTGCCCAGCGGGTTGGCAGCCCGGTGACAAGACCATGAGACCAGACTTCGATGGCAAGCGAGAGTACTTCCAGGATCAGGAGTGAAATGGTTTGAGAAAGCTACTGAAGAAGAAGAAGAATAATAAGCAAATCAAGTCGTTTGAGAAAATGCTGCGCGAATCTTCACGCTTTTGAGACTTGACCCTTTTCCGTATTCAAAGCAATAGGACGATATAGGAGAGCCACATTGCTGTTCTATGGTTTTATATGGTTTTCTTCACTCCAAATCCTTGAGAATCAACCCTCCACATGAGGTGCAGGCGCTGCTCCTGTTTGCACTCTTCAAGGCAGACCAGACCTTTGCCGGTTGGCCACAATTGTAGGACCAAGCTTTTGTGGCTGCTTGTACTCCCAAAAGCCATTGAAATTTGAACACGCAAGTCAACACTCCTTTTGTTTTTACATTGTCACTCGCTTGATTTGTCAGGGATGGAGTGCCTTCGCTGGTTGCCACCTGGCCTGAACAATTGATTGGGATTTGATCCTGTACTCGTACATTCTACTATTTTTGACAAACAGCAAAGCAACAAGGACATCACTGCACATATTGTCCAGCACAACATTTTCCGTGAATAGCTTTGGTCCTTTGAATATAGTTTCCTCCATCGCACGCATTTGCAAGACCGTACAGCACCATCGTACCATCTCGCTGCTGTTCAACCTTAGGTCAAGGCCCGCAGAGATCCTGCCGTCCTTGGTTGCAACCGAGGCTTCTTGACACACAGTTGTATGCACCAACCTATGCCCGTAGGTGGTTAGGTGCATTCCTCGAAAAGAAGACTTTCCCGCACGCAGCACAAAGCTGCATTACAAAAAGAGGTTGCAAAAGAGCAGACAACGAGTGAAAAGGGGGTTACTGGGCAACCAACTTTTAGCTTGAAACTGCACCAAAGGGGCGAAAGAGGCCAGATTACACGAGGTGCCTGATCAACGGGAAAACTTTTAGGTTAATCTCAAAAGCGAGTTTGCAAGCAGCGATCTGGCATTGAGCACGTTGTTTGGGGGTAGCCGCCGCGGACCAAACCACCCAACCTGATTTAGCAGTGACCCTAGGCTGGCGGGCCCACCACCAACATAGAAAGCCCAAAAGTGCCTCATAGAAGCAAACTGCTCATCACAATACTGACAACTGCAGGAGTGCCCACTGCGGCGGTAAGCAGTGCGCGTACGGGTAGGGGTGGCAATCGCCCCAGCTCTAAAAATGGACAACACATGACGTTTAGGTTGAGAGAGGTTTCTCCTCCACAAAGTCCACAATGGATGGGAGGAAGCGTCAAGGTCAATATCAGTGAACCCTTCAGAATCGAAACGTGAAAGGGGGATCTTACTGAGAATTTGAAATCTAGCGGCAAGTCGAAGGAGAGTTTGCGTAAGGCTGCAAGATGCGCCACAAACCCGGAGTACTAGCGGAGGTCGAGAAGAAAAGACCTTCCAAGTTCCAATCGACCATCCTTAAACCTTGGATATTCAAAAAGTGAGATACCGCCCCTTCGATGGGAGGGGAAACTGGACAGGCAAAACGGTTAGCCGACAACGGCCTCGCAAGCTAGCCCTTGAATGGGATGAAGGTCAATGCGGTCGGCCCAAAAACGACTTTTGCACCACCAAAAACTTTTGAATTGTCCAACAGTTGGTGGAAAAGTTTAAGCACGAAGCTTTGGGGTGGAGGTTGAATCAACGGGACAGACCAAGTCTACTTGTCTTTGAAGAACACACGCGCAGCGGATTCACGGATGGACAACCCACCGGGTACTTTGGTGAGGAAGGGGAACAAATCAAAAATGGAACTCCAACCGTCCCTCAGCGTGGGCAGTGCCGAAGAGGCCGGGGCAACCCGGAGCCCCAGGTGCTCAACAGAGTCGGCATTTTTCCCAGATCTGGCGTTTCCAGAGGTTTTCTTGAAAACCAACTAAGTCATCGAATCGACGAGTGGTTGCCAGGGCATTGTGCAAATCCTGAATATGTTTCGAGCAACGAAGAGATCGGTCGTCACAATAGGCCCAAGTTTTCACAGTGCCATGGACGCAGATTTTGCGCCAAAACACAGGGAGAAACCGGATCCCCTTAAGGGATGGACTGAGTAGGAAAAAGTGATAAAAAGTGGTTCAAAATGGAACCCTTGAAAATTAACAAATCTAGAGCTTTTCCATCCCAAAGCCCGGAAGATTACTACTTTATGAGGGGTGCCAGCAAATAGCAAGGCAGCTTCTTGACACTGTGCTCTTAGCCACTCAGTTTGTTGTCGCCCGCTTGTCGGATTGCGATCAGTACCCCTGGAGTGTGGCTGGTCTGTGCCCTTGGTTGGAGTTGGTGAAGCCTTGGGCTGCATGATGAAACCTCAACATTGTGATGGCTGCTCGATTCGGGGCAGAAATGATCCAAGCATGTTTGCTAATCTTCTCACTGATGGCAGCTGCGCTTGAGCATACTTGAGCTCACTGGACTGTGTTCACATGCACTGCTCTTGCATGCCGGATTTGTACTGTTCTCATTGACTGGCTTGGGCTGCCAACGATTGTTTGCAGTTGGCCTTCGCTGCGAGGCATAGCTGCTGTGTGCAGCTGAATGCAGGCAAGGCAAGCGAAGAGATGACGGGACGTGGACGGTGCAGATTGCGGTGTTTCTCCCACTGAGTCACTCAGGGCTATTCATAAAATGAACATTGTATTCCGATTCGATTTCGGATGGATTAACTTAATTTGCTGCTGACAATTAGATATCAATGATGCTTTTCATCAGCACGTCAATATGTATGTATATGAGCGTCGTTCAAAAACCCACCTCTTCCTTGTTAGTAATCGAATTTCAAAGGCTGATTTCGATTGTGCTCTCACTGCAGTCGCGAAAGGTTCGCGAAGGTCCTGCGAAAGGTCTGCGCAAGTCATGTTGGTGACCTGGCCACGCTGCAAGAACAATTGCTCTTCAGACTTCCGATTGCTTTTTCCCGGGTTGGGAAAAAGCAAATTGGAAATCTGAACCATTTTGCTTTTTCCCGGCCCGGGAAAAAGCAAATTGGAAGTCTGAGCCTTTTGCTTTTTCCAGGCATGGGAAAAAACAAATTGGAAGTCCGAACCATTTTGCTTTTTCCCGGCCCGGGAAAAGGCAAATTGCAAGTCTGAGCAAACTGGCCTGACTGAGCCGTCTCTTGTTCATGGAGGGTTGGGCCCAACCAAAAACACAGCAAAATCAAAATGGCTTGGTTGGAAGTCTTGACCACTTTGCTTTTTCCCAGCCTGGGAAAAAGCAAATTGAAAGTCTAGACCATTTTGCTTTTTCTCGGGCCGGGAAAAAGCAAATTGGAAGTCTGAGCAACCTGGCCTGACTGAGCCGTCTCTTGTTCATGGAGGGCTGCGCCCAACCAAAAACACACCAAAATGAAAATGGCTTGGTTGGAAGTCTTGACCAGACAAATTGAAAGTCTAGACCATTTTGCTTTTTCCCGGGCCCGGAAAAAGCAAATTGGAAGTCTGAGCAAACTGGCCTGACTGAGCCGTCTCTTGTTCATGGAGGGTTGGGCCCAACCAAAAACACAGCCAGCAAAATGAAAATGGCTTGGTTGGAAGTCTTGACCATTTTGCTTTTTCCCAGCCCGGGAAAAAGCAAATTGGAAGTCTGAACCATTTTGCTTTTTCCCGGCCCGGTAAAAAGCAAATTGGAAGTCTGAACCATTTTGCTTTTTCCCGGCCCGGAAAGAAGCAAAGTGGAAGTTTGAACCATTTTGCTTTTTCCCGGCCCGGGAAAAAGCAAATTGGAAGTCTGAGCCTTTTGTTTTTTCCCGGCCCGGGAAAAAGACAAATAGGAAGTCTGAGCCTTTTGCTTTTTCCAGGCCCGGGAAAAAGACAAATAGGAAGTCTGAGCCTTTTGCTTTTTCCAGGCCCGGGAAAAAGCAAATTGGAAGTCTGCCCGAGAAAAAGCAAATAGAAAGTCTGAACCATTTTGCTTTTTCCCGGCCTGGGAAAAAGCAAATTGGAAGTCTGAGCCTTTTGCTTTTTCCCGGGCCCAGGAAAAAGCAAATTGGAAGTCTGATACATTTCCAATTGCTTTTCCCGACCCTTGGAAAATTCTTTGTCGTTGGAAACTGCGCAAGTATGGCGAAAGGTTCGCATTGTGGACGCGAAAGATGACAGGGCCAAACCCCACCCCACCTCAGACTTCCAATTTGCTTTTTCCAGGGCTGGCTCAGACTTCCAATTTGCTGTTTCCCGGGCGGGGAAAAAGCAAAACGGCTCAGACACCCAATTTGCTTTTTCCGGGCCTGGAAAAAGCAAAAGGCTCAGACTTCCAATTGGCTTTTTCCCGGGCCGGGAAAAAGCAAAATGGTTCAGACTTCCAATTTGCTTTTTTCCGGTCCGGGAAAAAGCAAATTGGATGTGGAAGTTTGAGTTTGGACATCCAGCTCTCTTTTGGAAAGCCTAAAAACAGCAATTTTTTCAGAGAGCCGCCTAATGGATAAGGCGCCAGGCTCATAAGCAGAAGGTCGTAGGCTCGAGCCTCACAGGCGCTGCTTGTTTCCAGGCCCAAATTGGAAGGCTGATGCATTTTGCTTTTTGCCGGCCCGGGAAAAAGCAAATTGGAAGTCTGAACCATTTTGCTTTTTTCCTGGCCCGGGAAATAGCAAAATGGAAGTCTGAACCATTTTGCTTTTTCCCGGGGTGGGAAAAAGCAAATTCGAAGTCTGAACCATTTTGCTTTTTCCCGGGCCGGGAAAGCAAATTGGAAGTCTGGCCATTTTGCTTTTTCCCGGCCCGGGAAAAAGCAAATTGGAAGTCTGAACCATTTTTGCTATTTCCCGGGTTGGGAAAAAGCAAATTCGAAGTCTGAACCAAGTTGCTTTTTCCCGGGAGTCTGGCCATTTTGCTCTTTGCCGGCCCGGGAAAAAGCAAATTGCAAGTCTGAACCATTTTGCTTTTTTTCCTGGCCCGGTAAAAAGCAAAATGGAAGTCTGAACCATTTCGCTTTTTCCCGGCCCGGGAAAAAGCAAATTGGAAGTCTGAGCAAACTGGCCTGACTGAGCCGTCTCTTGTTCATGGAGGGTTGGGCCCAACCAAAAACACACCAACATGAAAATGTTTTGGTTGGCTGGCTTCCTGTTCCTTAGCAATGTGTCA